GTGAGACCCTCTCATTTTTGAAACAATTGGCATCAGCCCCCGGAGCTTATGACCAGGAAAGCATTGAGTTTTTGAGGAATAAGGCTACTGTTTCTTCTTTTCGGAAGGCTGTGTTTGAGGAATATGATGAGACATATGCACAAGCTTTTGGGGCGCATCCATCACGACCTTCCCACCAGGCTGTTAATGCCTCAGCACGATCTTCGAAGGAGGCACCACAAGGTACTTGTTTACTTTTATTGCTGATTCTTGGAAACTGTTTTGGGTTTTGATTTAATGAAATTCTTTGTGATATGTTCTGCCTTTTATAGTGTCACACTACATTTCAAATGATATGTTGTTCGAGACTTTTGGCCAAAACAGTTACAAGCCTCACATGGCTAAAACTGGTATTCAATTGCATTCAATTTATCATGGCTCGTAATTCATATTTTGGATTTCTGTAGTATGTCTTTAGATATAGCATTTTTTTACTGACTGATGCATGGTTATAGTCAGATGTCAGTTTCTGACTACTGTTTTTTTGCTGGAAGGGCCATTTTAGAACACAATAGTGATCTTGGCTCTTCAACAAATTTTATTTGGATTTTTAGCTTTCTGATTTATGTTTAGGTCTCTCTTTTATACCCTTCTAATTAATGGACAACTCCCAGGAGTGACGAAAAGGTTGTGTATAAGGTTTGCAGTTCTTCATGGTTTATCCATTTATCGACTATCTTTGTTGAGTATTACACAACACTGAAAGGATAGAAGAAGTCCTTGTGCCTCGCTGCCTCTTGATATCCTGAGATAATATTTACATGCATTCCTCTTGGTTACTGGTTTGGGCATGAACATTGTCATGTCTCTGTTCTTATGAGATCGTTACCTTCTTTGTTTCCATTTCCAGCTCCTTTGAGTGGGCCAATGGTGATTGCAGAAGCATTGGGTGGTGGAAAGAGTTCTAAAAAACCCATACAAGTTAAGGACCATTCAAAGAAAGACATTTACTTATTCAAACGAAGAGACGAAGCAGCTAGTTCTACAATGCAATCTACTTACAGAGAGGGATCACCAACATTTGTGGCTGGGGATTATGTCCTACAGAAGAGGGTTCTGGTTTCTCAAATTCCTGTAAAACTAGAGCATACTGTTGTTGCGAGCAGGGATGGTGTAAGTTCAAGTGGAGATTTATCCAGAAATGCAGTTGCGTCTGTAAACCAGACTTCATCAGCCAATGCTGTTGCTGAAGATGTAAAGTCATCTTTGAATAAAATTGATGGTGGGCCAGCATCTTCTCAGCACGAAGGTAATGTTATATTTGACCTGAAACCTGAGGGTGGAAAATTGTCCCCATATGATGGAGTTGAGAAACATGATATGGATTCTACTGCAAAACTGGAAGGAGGCCAGGGATTAGATCAAGTTCAAGATGGTCTCACTGGTGGGCTTCCTTTTGTTGATATAAAGCACTCTGGTGGTATGAGTGCTGAGGGTGGGTTGAAGAAAGTGAAAAAAGGAACTTCAGCAGATATAGGTGCTGAGAACTCTGCTTCGGTGGAGAAAAAGAAGAAGAACAAGGCTGGATCAGAAACAAGCTCTGATAAACCAAAGAAGCCTTCTCTCCTTGGAAAAGGTGGGGCTAAATCTGCCCATATCGGTATGGGTCATAGAAACGAGTTTCAGGTGAACCAGCAGAAGAAAGATGTTGATCCTACACATTCCTCACTCAGTTCTGTTGGGGCTTCCACGACCGTTGGTATGGGAAATTCTGGGCTTGAACTTGCACAACTACTAAGTGATTTGCATGCTCTGGCTCTTGATCCCTTTCATGGTGTGGAAAGGAATAGCCCAACAATTGTTAAGCGACTCTTTTTACGATACCGATCACTTGTTTATCAGAAAAGCTTGGTTGTGTCGCCACCATCTGAGACAGATCCTGCTGCACCCCATTCTGGTAAACCTCTTTTGCTTGGAACCTCTGACAACTATGGCAAGGAGAATGTTACAGACTCAAGTCCAAAACCAGCAAGACCCCTTGCAAGACCTGATGATCCGACAAAAGCTGGACTGAAGCGTCCCCCATCTGATCGTCAAGAAGAAATTGCTGCAAAGAGATTGAAAAAGATTGCTCACTTGAAATCGTTAGCTGCAGAGAAGAAGGGCAATCTGAGAACTTCAGAAGCTCCAAAAGTTAAAGTTAAAGAACAGCCAACTGCAGCCCCCCCAGGAAGACCACACAAAAAACCAGATTCTGCAAGGAAAATGGAGCCTCCACCTAGGGCTGTTGAGCCTACAATGCTGGTTATGAAGTTTCCTCCTGAGGTATCACTTCCATCTGCTGCACAACTAAAGGCAAGATTTGGGCGATTTGGTGCCTTAGATCAGTCAGCAATTCGCGTGTTTTATAAGTCCTCAACGTGTCGTGTCGTGTTCAGACACAAGATAGATGCACAGGCAGCGTATAGATATGCTAATGGAACTAATTCCCTATTTGGCAATGTGAATGTAAGATACCATCTTCGAAGTGTGGAAGCTCCTACAGCAGAAGCACTAGATTCTGACAAGGGGCGAGGAGACACTACTACTGGTGAAACCATACCAGTCAAGGATTCTGTAGTTGAACGATCAGCGTCGGTGCTTGCACACCAGCCTATTCTGCAGCCAACGGTCCAGCTGAAGTCCTGCCTGAAGAAGCCAAGTGAAGAGGCAGGGCAGGCAACTGGCAGTAATGGAGGTAGAGGTGCAGCCCGTGTAAAATTCATGTTGGGTGGGGAAAAAACTAGTAGGGGAGATCAATTGATGGTTGGTAATAGAAACAACTTCAACAACAATCCTGGTTTTCCCGATACTGCTGCACCTTCTGTTGCAATGGAATTTAATACTAAGAACTTTCCGAAGGTCATTCCTCAATCTTTGTCTTCATTTCCTGTTAATCCCCCCATTTCTCAATTCGGGAAAGCCCCCTCCGAAGTGGCTCCCAGAAATGCTCACAATCTTAATACACAAACCACCACCCCACCAACTAGTATCACTAGCATGGATATTTCACAGCAGATGCTAAACCTTCTGACAAAGTGCAACGATGTCGTAACCAATGTAACGAGCATGTTGGGCTATGTGCCTTACCATCCACTTTGAATAAACGAAGGTCAACCCAAATTAATGTTCGACCAAAATCAAAGAGATGGCGATGTATGGTTTTCCCCAAAGCTGCTGCCAGGAAAGGCAGCAAATGAACCACAAATGCCGTGGGGGTTTAAAGAGTGCAAACAAGAAAAGGACCCATTTGTGGGCTATAAAATTATTTGTACCCTTTTTGTTGGAAGTGTTGTGTACTTGCATGGCAGTTCCCTGCGCTGTTTTCCATAGCCTTTCTCCTCTGTCCCCATTGAACTGATTGTATGTGATTTGTTTTATGAGTAATGGATTAGTAAGTGCCACTATCGTATTCTAGTTTTGCTGGGTGTTTTGATGATTCGAATCGTGTATTTGATATGATATAGATTGGATCATACCTTAGAAAGAGATAGGAATTGCCCACCCGTGTGTACCTAACAAATGAGGTCTTATTTCAATCTGCTGGCCAATGGAGTTGATGCAGAGCAATTGGGAGTCGGGTTTTGGCTTAACAATATGTGTTGCTCTGAAGATGTAAGAATTTACTTCTTGACTGCCTTTACTGCGACAGACCTCAGATGTGGTCTTGGGCCATTATGGGCTAAGCCTCATGAAACTATATTTCTTTTATCCTATGTTTGGATTAGGATAAGTGGATCCAAAGAAAAATCTTTCTTCATTTGGATAATGTTCTTATTAAATGACCAAACGATTATCTTTTTTAGTTTAAAATAAAATACAAATTTATTATTAATAAATTACCTATTCTTCTATTCATTTTTATTCAATATTTTCCATTTAAAAACAGAAAAATTCTATTTACTGGTAAAATCATTTTAATTATTATTAAACTAAATTAAAAACTATATTATATACTGATATAATCTCCTCTAAAACATAATACATGTTTTCAATTAATATAAGCTTAATTTCATAAAACTGTCATGAATGATAATTATACTCTGCTTTTGTCATTTTTTCTTTTATTTTTTCAGAAAAATAAATGTGTTTGACTTGAAACGGTGTACGAGGTATTTAATCAGAGTAAAGTTTGGTACCCACTCCTCCTACTGCTGATGGAAGAGATGCCAGACGACAGGTGATTAATTCATGACAGTTTTCTGGTTGTCGTTCCCACTTAACCACATATTAAATTAAAGCCTTCAAAAAAGGGTTTTATAACCAAATGAAAACGTAAATAATACTCATGTTACAAACACAAAGATTCCTCATTTTGGATCTTTTAATTTGTCCCTTCCGACTCTCATTTCAAACTTACATCTCTTGCTCTTTGTTTGGAATGTAAAATCTTATCTTTCACTTCATCAATGATACGTTAGTTTACTGCTAAATTAAGTTTTTTTTTTAAAAAAAAGTAATGTTTTTCAAAAAATTTATAGATTTTGCAATTGTTTATGATTTTTTTAATATAATTTTAGTTATGTAAAATAAGCTTTTAACGAAAAAAATACTACTAAAATAATGAGCGAGGAAAAATTATATTATAGATAATAACTAAGAATAAAAGGATAGATAGTGTAGGAAGTGATAAAGAAAAATGGATTAAGTATGGGAAAAACTAAAAGAAATTGTGTAAGGGATAAAGTACAGGGATATATATATATATATATATATAAGGAAGCTAAGGGTTGTAAACTGTAAAGTAGTGGTAAAAACCAGCAATGACTCATATCATTTAAATTGCGATTATGATATTACTTTTTATTGTATTCTATATATTTGATTACGATAATAGTAAATAATACCATGATTATTATAGATTTTATCCAGTAATAGTTTTAGATGACAGCTTATAGTTACGTAATATCTACTATTTTGACAGCGCCTACTATTTAAATATCTGCTTATAACCGATGAGCAAACCAAGCAATTAAGAAGGCTAATAAAAACGATCAACAGTGCAGGGAAGAAGCTATCTTTATTCAGAATCAGAAAAGCAATGGAAGATACTTCATCAACAAACCAAGTTACATCGCAAACGACTCTTTTCCATGAAGTTTTAAGGGCTCTTCTCAGGTGCTTGGGACTCGAAACTGGGTTCCACCCAAACCCTATTTCATGTCCCAAGGAAGAAGACGATCATAATGGGCATGCTTCTAAGAAAGAAGCAGGTTCACCTCCATCTCCATCTCCAACAACGGGCTACTCAGACCAACCAGCTGATCCTCCTTCCACCACCGAAACTGTGAGTCAATAATTGATCTTTATATATTATTTTTCTTTATTTGATGCATGGTTCAATTATGCAGGGAGTTCCAGTGATTGCTCTCTTCACTCCTAAAAGGCCAGGGTCAGGCGGAGGCAGCGGACCTCAGATTAATTAGCTTCAGCTTTCCAGATGGAGTGAGTTAATCAGAATAATTTGTATAAAAACTCATGAACCTAAGTATTTTAAGATGTAGAAAATGTGGTTAAAAAATAATTCTAAAGCCATTAGAAATGTTTCTGAAGCTGTTTTCTTTTCGTACGATGGAAACTGCAAAAACTTTTACAAAGCGTTCATCTTTGTTGCCAAAAACCAGGTTGAGTTCGCTCATGGTTCCAATGAAACCATGTTATGGTGAAAATACCGAAACGCCGTTTGTCTAAAGTAGTTGACCTTTTTCTACATAACGTTTTCAACATCTGCTCTTCTCCTTGTTCCCATATCGCTCAGAATCATATACTCAAAGGCTCGGCTAATTCAATCTCGTACGTGAAGTTTCTACCAGGCTGAATCAACTCATTCGCACCATCAATTGTATCCTCGATGCCCTCCGTATCAATTTTCCCAAAAAAACACAATAAACCACGAATATTAGCTCAAGGATCCATATGGAAAAATAAGATTTAGAGATGGTGTACCAGTCAACGGAAACAGCAATTCTGGCTTGATTGTGGACACTGACATAAACAGTATCGTCTCTTCGGACTTGAATCTCAGGCCAACGACGGTCAAGATGGTTTTTGTTGCGCAAAGCTTGGTAAACTCTGCTTCTCGCAACTGCAAATTATAACCATATCCATCATATAAAGAAAACAAAATTATAAAAACAAACTTACCATGAATTCGTAATAAAGGTCATCGGCACTGGAGAAGATGAGGAAATTGAAAGCAAAAGCACTGACAACAAAATAAAGGCCTGTTTTCGGGAACCCATTTGAATTACTTTTGATCTTTCTTCTTCGGTTCTTCCCGTCCTTTCCTTTATACTATTTTCCTTTTTTTTCTCCATTCAAAATTTAAGGTTAAATTTCTTAAAAAAAATTAAAAGTTGAAATATTAAAATAAAAAAAATTAACAATCTAAATATTAAACGTGTTAAATTTTAAATATGAGTATTAAAATAAAATAAAATAAAATAAAAATTAAATTAAATTAAATTTTAAATATAATTTTAAAAAATTTAAAATTTAAATATTAAAATAGACTCATATTAATAATTTAAATATTAATTATATAATTTTTTATAAATAGATAAGTACAAAAACGCCCGTCATCGATAGTCAGAAATGGTAAGCAGTTATCGTTCCACAGGTAGGGATGGCATGGTTGGGTTTGAGTCGGGTTTCGGTCAATCTGACTCGACCTGAAAATTTTACATCTTTCACTCGATTTGACTTGATCTTAAAAATATATATCATCCACCCTACCTGATTTTTTAAGATAAATTCCGGACCCGATCCGATCAACTTGAAATAATAAAAAATATTATTTTTATTTAATAAAAACAGTGATTTAATTGAAAAAAATAATATATGGAGGGGTATTATTATAATTATTCCTAAATATATAAGGTAAAATTATATTTTTTTTCCCGGGTTGGGTTAGGTATTTTTCACTCTAAACTCGAACACAACCCAAACTCGAAATTAAAAAAAAACCCAACTCGATCGATCAAGTCGGGTTGGAACCCGTATGGTTCGGGTCTCATGCCCATCCCTATCCACATGTGTAGCAATTTTCTCCAAATTATTTTTTTCCTGGTGTTAAGGTAGGGGAGCGTAAGGAAAGATAACATAATTTAAGAATGAGGAAAGACGCGACTGAAAATATTATAAAAATTATATTATTTTTGGTTATGTGCAACTTAAAATATTAATTTTTCTTAACATTTTTTTTATTGAAAGGATTCTTTTATAACATTTTTAGTTGGCAACCGAAAATGTCATCTTCTGCATAACATTTTAGGTCGAAAAATGTTATAATTTTTATAATATTTTCAGTTGCGTCCATTTCCTGTCGTTATTTAATATTAAACTATTAGAACTAAATCATAATAAATATGAAAAATAACAAATATCTAATCATGTCAAATCATCAATAATAAAATACTAGATGCGAAAGCGTACCAACTGATTAATTAATTGGTTGAAATCCTTGAATCTTTCTTTGGTTATGATCTTCCAAGAAGATATAGTTCCCTTGCGTATAAACTCTCTAAAGGGGATAGAGTTCCTTGAGTATAAACCAGTATCGTGGCTGGGGCGGTGCGAAATGGGCGACCGCGCAAGGCCCCCAAAAATAGGGCCCCAAAAAAGTATATCTATAGTGGCGTTTTCCAATAAAACGCCACTATTGTTGCGACATTTTCAAAAAAACGCTACTATTGTTGCGGCTTTTATTGAAAAACGCTGCTACAAATGAACCTATTGTGGCGTTTGTCAAAAACACACCACTATTGTTGTCCCAAAATCGAATATATCTAGAAAATAGGGGCCCTTTTATAAGAATTTGTGCATGGCCCCCGACAACCTAACCACGACCCTGATATAAACTCTCTGACTGTATAAGAGTAAATATGATATTGTTTATTTCTTGGAGACCATAACCTCTTTACATAGCTGATTTAAGAACATTTATTGTATGTAGTTATAACTCTGGTCTTCATCGAATTATAAATAAAACTTTAATAGTATCTACGCTTTTATTTCCATGACACTTATAATATTTTATAATTTTATAACATAATTAGTCACTTAATTTATGTCATATTTTATGATAATAATATACGTTATCAATATAAATATGTGCCCATAATTATAGATTTTAAACCACATAAATTATTTCTCAAAAAAATAATCCACATAAATTAAACTGTCATAGGACAAAATTACTTGGTGTTTAACTATTCATCAATTTCACATAAATTGCTTTAACTTATTTATAACGAATTTCATTGTTGACCGTGGAATTTAAATAATGTTAGTTTGGGTGTATATTATTGAATATTAAATATTATTTTATTTAAAATTTTGGATATCTAAAAATTTAGATTATTAAAATTATGATTTGTAATAGATTTAACAAAAATTGAATATCTAATTTTTTAGAAATCTAATTTTTTTTATTAGATATATGAATGTTCTGATCTAAATATAAAATTTAATTAGATAAAATTATCTACACAATAAATAATCAAACATTCTAATCTTTCTTGGGTTAATGACTTAACGAGATAATGTGTTACTCACTTATTGAGCTAGGGAATGTCTAAACTTTAAATGTCTAGTTTTTATCAAAATTTTTAATAATTTAATGTTTTTATATAAAAATAAGTGTCTAAACTATATCTAAAATTAATTTTTGGAGCTTAAAGAATTTTTCGTTAAAATCAAGTGCCTAATATTTTCTCCTTTATACTTTTTGGTGTTTAGACCGTAACCACTATTAAAAAATGTTAAGTGATATGAATCACATTTATATTTTTTATTTTTTGAAGATAAAAATATTTTTTTTAAAATTAACCCTTTCTCCCACCCCTACTTTATCTCCCTATCATCCGCCACCTCTGATAGCGAAGGGTCGATCAACGGCTGAGTTTTGTTTAAAGCAGGGCGAGAAATTCAATGGTGGCAGTCATGTAATGCACGGACAACATGAGTCGTTATAATCGCTAAAAAACAATAGAGGAAAACCTAAAAATCCAATGACCCTTCACGACGCTCTCTACGACGATCGACGTAGTTTCACGGTGGGTAGGGGACTAGATTTTGATCACGGTTGCGAGATAGTTCTGGCGTCATCAATGGTGATGACCACAATCCTATGGTGGCCGATCGATAGTGGAGGAAATAAATTCTAGATTTTTTAATATATATATATATATATATATATAATACTAAGTGTTTTCTAAATAAAATATTTTAAAATTTTATATGCATGAGATGTATAAGATAACAGTCAAATTTAACAACGATTATAGTCCAGACACTTAAAAGCGTAACGTTAAAAGCTTTAGTCACTTATTTAACAAAAAATTATTCAGGAACTGTTGAGTTAATCGATTGACGGAATTGGCCAAGAGGGGGTGAATTGGCAATAAAAATTTTGGTGGAAGCTTTTGCAGAAAATTGAAAGAAATTGCACAGCGATTTAGAGTGGTTCAACTTTCTCAACCAAAGTCTACGTCCAGTACCTTAGCTATCCACACTAAGGATTTTCCACAAATTCACTAATTTGTATTTCTTTTGAGGACAAAGAGTAACCTTACAAACCCTCAAGAATTATACCCCAAATTCTTGAGAACACTCTCTCCCAAAGAGAACAATACAAATTTGCAAACTTACAAGGAAATCCTCACAAGATAGATTGTTTGCACAATTCTAGAACAAAGAAAAGAACACTCAAGAATGAATACAATTGAGCACAATAAGTGTTCTTGAAAGCAAAATGAATATGAATGAAAATAGGATTGAAATGCTCAAACTTGAGGTTTGATGCTTTCTCTTTGATTCTCTCTTAATTCTAGTTGTTGATGTTTCTTGTTGTTGATCAATGGCTTCTAAGCTTGCTTAAATACACCTTGAATCACTTCTGAATGTTGGGGATCATTAATGAAGATAATATAGCCATTTTAGTGTGAAATCAATTAATAAAATAGTTTGGAGCGTGGGGGGGAATCGGTTCATTTAACTTAATTTGTTATATCGAAATATCAAAATGTTTTCAACAATCTCCCCCTTTTTGATATAACAAAACATTTTAGTAATTTTAAGATTTTGAAATCAAAAACGACGTTTTTGAAAAATTACTCCCCCTTACTTTCGTTTTTGAAAAATTACTCCCCCTTACTTTAAAATTTCTCCCCCTTTAAAACACTTAACACTTATCCCCCTTTTTGTTAAATCAAAAAGACTTGTAAAAGAATTTAAACAAGTTTTTTTTTAAATCATATAGCCAATTGAATATATATAGTTTAAACTGCTAAGATCACAATCAAGAGAAATGTTAGCCATTAGTTCCATAATCAATATTCATAATTTTTGTGATATGGCAAAATTGGTCATATTGCTAAAGTGATGTAAATGATGCAATAATGAATAAATTTAACCACACAATATATAAGTTCAAATATCCA